GAAATGCCGTACGCTAAACATAGCGATCGATGCACATCGCAAGACGTGGCATGTCCCCACCAGGAAGGCATACTACGTCGGGGACGATGAAATCGGTACTATGAGTGTGGCGGACGAGTATAATTACATAGGAATACTTATCGGGGCCGGGGGCAGACGCTTATCCTATGGTTCCCTGTTTGAGGACGACCTGACGAACATCACTAGGGCGCCACTCAAACCCCCAACAGAGGCTATACCTACTAAAACACCACTTAATCCCCAAGATGGCCCCCACCGCTCCTGTGCCAGGTAAGTTCACTACGGGCTCTCCATAGCCCGTGCTACTTGCCCTGCTCCTGTGCCAGGTAAGTTCATTACGGGCTCTCCATAGCCCATGCTACTTGCCCCGCTCCTGTGCCAGGTAAGTTACGGGCTCACCATAGCCCGTGCTACTTGGAACTTGTTCCGAGTAGCTGAATCTATAACAAAAACAACCCCAAGATGAACCACCGGCTTATTCTCGGACGCGTGTTTAAGACGGAATTAGCGAGGCTTGACCGGCGGCTGCAGCATGCCATTCGTGGCTGGCTGCGGCTGCCTCATGATACTCCTAATGCCTATTTTCATGCCGACGTGAAGGACGGTGGACTAGGAATACCCCACTTTGCCACATCAATCCGCCTACAGAAGAACAAGCGGCTCGGGGCGTTAGTAGAGTCGGAGGATCCAGTGGTAGTGGCAGCGGCTCTCCTACCCGCGTTCTAAGCGCGAATGCGTCGTTGGGTAGACCCGACCACGGCCGCCGGAACCCCTTCTAACAGAACGACTGAGCACTCTAGGAAGTGGAAAGCAAAACTGTATAGCATGGTCGACGGTGCCGGCCTTGCGTCCTCTTGTGAGGTTCCATCTTGCCACAAGTAGGTCGCATCCGGTACCCGTCTGCTAAGTGGAGGAGATTTTGCTCACGCCATCCAGATTAGGGCAAACGCTGTAGCCACGCCGTCTAGAGCAGCTAGGGGTAGACCCGAGGCTTCTGGTCTCTGCGATGCTTGCTAGAAACCAGGGACCCTAGGCCACATATCCCAGGCATGCCACAAGACACATGGGGCTCGGATGAAACGTCATGACGATATCACCCGGTTCGTACCGACCTCTTTCACCTGCGGCAAAGAGGTTTTGAGGTAGAACGTGAAGTCCGTATACCGGATGGAGGGACCTTCTGTAAGCCTGACATCATAGCTTGCAAAGGTGATGAGGCCTTTATACTGGACACCCAGGTCTCTGCTGATAACTTCCCACTCTCCCGTCCACATCAGAGCAAGTGCGACAAGTACGGCACCCCAGAGATCCTTCAAAAGGTCAGGGAATATACCGGGAAGCACACAGCATCCGCCTCTTCAATAACCCTTAATTGGAGGGGAGGATGGTGCAAGGAGTGCGCGCGTGATCTACAGGATATGGGACTCACCAAGAGCGACCTTGAGATTTGCTCTGTGAAAGCCCTGACCTGGATATATTCCATCTACAGAATATGGTCCAAGACCACATCTAGGGGACAGACCACCTTAGCCCCAGGATCACCGTGCACAGGGTGCATAAGGGTTAATATAGTCTCGCTTAGGTGAACCACAGCCAGGATAGCTGGTAGCCAACTATCTAAGCAGAGTCGTCATCTGGAGTACCACTTCTCCAAATGGTGTCTCACAAGAGGGTGGATGACCTGGCCAGAGCCCACGAGTGGGTAAGGCGGCGGCCGGAGGGACCCCCATGCGCATACGTGATATCCCTCCCGCTCCGGGGCCTTGTTAGGAGCTTCCACTATGAATAGTTTTCCATTTATGCGATTTCAAGGCATCAATCCTGTCGCTTTGGCATTCAGCGTTAGTTCTTTTTTAATGATATACTGTGCACCTCTCCCTTTGTGTGCTGTGTCCCATACAAGAAAAAAAAACAAAAACAAAAGAATTTTCCATTTACCGTATTTTTTTTTAGGTTATTATTGTGTGTTATTAGTATCATCTTAACTCTTGTGGGTTGTGATGAGATCTGCCATTTGTGTATTTTAGCTTGAGGGAGAGGCAGATCAGAGAGGTTAGAAAGAGTAGCATGGAGGGTGAATAGAACCCAGTCAGCCTTATCAAACCACCAATTAGGAAAGGCAAAGGGAAGGTGGAAAGGAAAGGAGGATATGAGTATGAAGAAATGGTCACTGATATGGAGGTAATCAAGAACCCTCCAGGTGAGCTCTAAATAGAAAAAAGAGAAAGATCAAGATGGGAAAGGGTGCGAGTGCATGAGTTGACTCACCAGAATTCAGAAGACAAAAGATGAAGAGAGGATGAAAGGTTCGAGAAGGCGGTCCTGGGTATTTGTGAAATCATCACCCCAGCGAGCATGATGACAGTTAAAATCATCCAAAAGAAGCACAGGCTACGATAGAGAGTCCTACGCGTTGAAGACCTAAAAAAAGAAAGCGGAAAATTTGTGGGAAAACAATTAAAACAGACTGCGTACCAAAGATACGGGCAGCAGAGAAATGAATGGATGACTGAAAAAATAGGGGGACAAAGGGAATATAATTATGGATCATGAGAGCAGTAGAGTTAAAGCCTGCATCAAAAACTGGAGGGAAGGAGAAAAAGGAATAACCACGGAAGCAACCAAAGCGAGTGCCAAGCATCGGCTCATGGAAACATACACAAAGCAGCAAAAATCGAGAGATCAGAAGCAGGAGTTCATGGAAGCTTCAGTTCAATGGAATATTCGTGGCATTCATAAAAGCCACGAATATTCCATTGAAGAATAGAAATACTGCAGCCAAAAACAGATATAAGAAAAAAAAGTAAGGAAAAAAGAAACAAAGTCAAACATGAACATGGAATACTAAGGAGGGTCGGGCTTAGGTTCAGTGAAATCAGGATGTGGGGGCATAAGTAAATCAAGCAAAAATGATTGAGTAGAGGGGGAAAAGGCAGACTGACCGAGTCCGCAATGGGAGGAGGCCTCGGAGAAGGACGGTTTAGGGAATGGTGAAGGACACAAATAGTGGAGTGCACTTAATCATAGACAGCGTCAAAGGGAGAATCAAAAGCCAAGGGTATCTCCATAGTGGGGTCAGTCGACTCCACCACAGAGATGGGAGGAGATGCAGGTATAGAGCCAAAGGTGAAAAGCAGGGGATGGATCGACACCTTACCAGCTGGGAAGGAAGATGGAGAGGAACCAGGTTTATACTTCTGACCGAGAAACAGGTGTGCTAGCAGCAATGAAGTGTGCGACAGCCTCCGCAGTCTTAGCAAAAGAAGAACAAGAGTGGACAATACAAAGACGACCGGGAGGAGGTTGGACATCCAACCTGTCCTCTTAAAAAGAACGTAGCTTTTGGCCGTTTGCCCGTATGGCCAAATATGGACGTAATTTGAAAATGAAAAAAAAATTAATATAAATTTGGGATTTTTTTTTTTCAACAACAGTAAGTTAAGGGTCCTCTGATAGGTTAGGTGGACAGGAAATTCTCATAAAGTTTCAAAACGGTACGAAAAATGTTAATGGAAAGAATCCTTTTCGAAGCTTGCCCAGTAAACCGGAAGACTCAAACAGAAAACGGAACAGTACGTCACTTTTGTGAGTCGATTTCATTTAAAATTACGTCCAAATTTGGCCATAGCGCGCATACGAGCGAAAAGTGACGTTATTTTTAAGAGGACGGGTTGGGACATCAGCCAGGAGGGTCAGGTGTCATGGAGGGGTCAAAAGACAGAGGGAAGGGCTGAGAAGAAAGATGGGGTTGGGAAGGGAAATCCACAGGAGACAGAGAAGAGGAAGGAGGTGGAAAGGTAACACTGAACTGAATGGCAGGAAAAGACTGGGAGGGGAGGGTGGAAATACCAGACGGTGAACTGTGAGGAAGACTCTAGGCATCAGAATGGAGAAGAGTGGAAGACGGAGAGCTTGGTGGAAGTATTGGAGTCCATGGCCTGGAATTGAGAAAGGGGTGAAGGATGGGGAGAAGTGATACAGCACACGAGCATGAGTCATGTCAGAGTTAAGGTATCAAACCAAACTTCCCTGGCATCTTGCCTCAGGGAAAGAAATCCATTCACGATATTTTAAATTAAGAATGGCTTCCTCAAATTTGTAATGTATACATGAGTGGGAGAAGGTAGGGTGGGCATCACTGCAATTAATGCAGCAAGGCTGGAAGAGCACTCTCTCTTAGAATGGCCAGGGATTCCACACAAGGGGCACATGGACACCTTGCAAGTGCATCACAAGAGACCATGTCCAAATTTCCAGCACCCATTGCAGAGGTGCGGTGAGGGGGTGTATTCCTCAACCATCTGGTACCAGCAAGAATAACTAAATATGGAAAAGACCTACCATCAAGTGATTTTGACTACCCGAAGAGGTTGACGACGACCACCACGAGGGGTTTGAGTGAACATGTCAATCTGGAGGATAGAATGGCCTTAGCCCTCGAGAATATATAAATAGCCTCGTGGTAATCTATTAGCTCTCAATCTCCAGTCACGACCTGGTGTAGGAGAATGACTGTGCCAATGCTGGCATTTAACCGGGCATTTTTGGAGCCATTTCCCTTGTTCACTAATCTACATATATTAATTTTTATTCGCTGTTCTACACTAATTTTCTTTTGAGAGCAGTGTGAAATATATATGCCGGCGAGTGGTGTTTTGACCAATGAGACATCATTACAAAACGCCTATTCGTTCATAATCTAACCTAATACAACAACAAAAGCGGCATTGCCATTTTGACGTTCCACTGAGGTGAGTGGTAAAGGAATACTTTTCCTTGACTAAAAACAATGCAGGGGTTAACCTATTAGCCATCATAAGCCTCTGCTGGAAGATTGCACAACTCCCCTCCCTGCAAAAGACAAGTATTATCCATGTTAAGAGTCAAACAAGAGGTATAAAACATATGGGAGTTACTAGAGAGCAGGCAGTGGTCCCAAATGTTGAAATCACAGTTTCAAGGATAATGTAAGACAAATGTACAAATAACATTTATTAAAGGTCTGCTGAAGGATTTATCAGCTGATATTCTTCTATGCTACCAGTGCAGGCAGTAAGTGTTTTCCTAATGTGTTTAATACAACTGCATTCATATTTGAACTTGATCATATGTTAGCCGAGTTGTATGCTAACATAAACTACAATGTGCCCCATAACATTCTTCTGGCAGTTTGAAACTAAGAGTAAAAAATTTGCATCGCAATAACTCATGACTAGATCATTTTTGTCACTATGACCTCTATATTGGAACACTATCTTCATGCCTTATGTGTCACTCCCCAGCTCTACTGAGGGAGCTCATCACTCCCCGGCTCTACTGATGGAGCTCGTCACGCCCCGGCTCTACTGATGGAGCTCGTCACTCCCCACCTCTACTGATGGAGCTCGTCACTCCCCTCCTCTACTGATGGAGCTCATCACTCCCCGGCTCTACTGATGGAGCTCATCACTCCCCAGCTCTACTGAGGGAGCTCATCACTCCCCTCCTCTACTGATGGAGCTCATCACTCCCCAGCTCTACTGAGGGAGCTCATCACTCCCCTCCTCTACTGATGGAGCTCATCACTCCCCAGCTCTACTGAGGGAGCTCATCACTCCCCAGCTCTACATGACACCATAACATGGCTTAAGTCAGCATTTATAAGCACAAAATAAAGCATGACTGATAAGATAAAACTGCAATCCAAAAACTTTACCATTATCATTACAATAAAACAAAATATAAAATGAAATAAACATTTTGATTATTCTATTTTGCTTTAGATATTACAATATTTAAATGCTTTTAATATTAAGTTTGCATTCCAAAATCATTGCATAAATGTAAAAATTAAATTACTTAATATTGTTAATTATAATAAAGAAAACTTGCATCATAGAGCAACTACACCTTTATTAATTTTAACATTCACCTAACAAACATTATGCAATATTTCCTGCCCTGTTAACTTATTACACAACTGACACATGAATAAATATCAGTGATAAAATGCTTTAACTGGAAATCATTGTCAATTACTGTATTGTTATGACACGTCATCATGAAGGGCCAACGACAATTGCAGGAACACTTAAATAAAATTGAGATAATTATGGACAATAACTTTGCAATATCACTACTTTGGCATAAATGATTGACTAGTGAAGCCCAAACCAAAGCCTTTATGAGTATGTGTGGCAATTCTTGCCATCTCATACTGTCTCTCCATTGAGGTAAACATAGTTTCCTGCTTCTGCATTATGTCTACCCCAGGACTCTCTCTGGCACTACTGGGGGCAACAGCAATTTCTTTGTTCCCAGCAGGTGGAGTTTCAGCTGAAAATAAAAAAAAAATCAAACATTAATAAGTTCTACTGGCTATTTCAACATCTTATGCTACAAGATACAAGTCTATACTTCATCCACATCACTTTCTTAATCAGACACTTAAACTAAAACTGAATAATTTCTTGAAATTTGCTAACCTGACCTCAACATAAGCCAAAGATATCCTGGATAATGAACTTGTGCATTGTGCCCTCTTATATTATTTGATCTGTATTCAGTAACCTGCTTTAATTATGCGAGTGAATAATTCTTATTATTCGTGGATGCATTTCCTTTACTGACAATAATATTCTTTAAAGGTCAACAAGGCAAGATTTCATCTAGATGTGGTTACCATGTTTCAAGCTGTTTCATGTGCACATCTGAAAACACATTTATGGAATGCTGTCATCCAAATAACCTTTTACAATCAATTCCACATTAGTTGTAAAAGTTGTAGAGCAAAACCCTCACAATAGAGAAGCTCCAATAATGGATGTAACTGCATTTCCACAAATGGGCTTCAATATGGCACCATTAAGGCCAGTGTCCTTAACTTGTATACCATGCAAGGTGATGGAGAAGATTGTGAGAAAAAACCTAGTAACACATCTGGAGAGAAGAGACTTCGTGACAACCCATCAACATGGGTTCAGGGAGGGTAAATCTGGCCTTACAGGATTGATAGAATTCTACGATCAGGCGACAAAGATTAAACAAGAAAGAGAAGGGTGGGCGGACTGCAGTTTTTTGGACTGTCGGAAAGCCTTTGACACAGTACCCCATAAAAGGTTGATGCATAAGCTGGAGAAACAGGCAGGAGTAACTGGTAGGGTGCTCCAGTGGATAAGGGAGTACCTAAACAATAGGAAGCAGAGAGTTACAGTGAGGGGTGAGACCTCAGACTGGCGTGAAGTCACCAGTGGAGTCCCACAGGGCTCTGTACTTGGACCTATCCTGTTTCTGATATACGTAAATGATCTCCCAGAGGGTATACTCATTCCTCTCAATGTTTGCTGACGACGCCAAAATTATGAGAAGGATTAAGACAGAGGAGGACAGCTTGAGGCTTCAAGAAGATCTGGACAAGCTGCAGGAATGGTCGAACAAATGGCTGTTAGAGTTTAATTCAAGCTAATGTAATGTAATGAAGATATGGGTAGGAAGCAGGAGACCAGATACAAGGTATCACTTGGGAGATGAAATACTTCAAGAGTCCGAGAGAGAGAAAGACCTGGGGGTTGATATCACGCCAGACCTGTCCCCTGAAGCTCATATCAAGAGGATAACAGCAGCAGCATATGCCAGGTTGGCTAACATAAGAACGGCCTTTAGAAACTTGTGTAAGGAATCTTTCAGAAAGTTATATACCACATATGTCAGACCAATCCTGGAGTATGCGGCACCAGCATGGAGTCCATATCTAGTCAAGCATAAGACTAAAATGGAAAAGGTTCAAAGGTTTGCCACCAGACTAGTACCCGAGCTGAGAGGTAAGAGCTACGAGGAGAGACTACGGGAATTAAACCTCACTTCGTTGGAAGACAGAAGAGTTAGGGGGGACATGATCACCACATTCAAGATCCTCAAGGGAATCGACAGGGTTGATAAAGAAAGGCTGTTTAACACAAGGGGCACACGCACTAGGGGACACAGGTGGAAACTGAGTGCCCAAATGAGCCACAGAGATATTAGAAAGAACTTTTTTAGTGTCAGAGTGGTTGACAAATGGAATGCATTGGGAAGTGATGTGGTGGAGGCTGACTCCATACACAGTTTCAAGTGTAGATATGATAGAGCCCAATAGGCTCAGGAACCTGCACACCTGTTGATTGACAGTTGAGAGACGGGACCAAAGAGCCAGAGCTCAACCCCCGCAAGCACAACTAGGTGAGTACAACTAGGTGAGTATCTGTTGTTTTGATGGCCGGCACACAGCTCGGTGGTGGTGTGCCTGCTCTGCTGACCCCTTTGTGAAATTTGCTTAGATTTCCATTGCTGTTTCTTACTGCAGCCCTTTAAATAATTTCTACAGGACTAGCAATTCCATAAAAGAAGGAGTTTTCTCACACTTACTCTCAGGCAAGTGTTGAGGGGGTTAGCGAGTGTGTCAGGAGTGTTGGCAGATGTTAGGAGTAGGTATTTATGAGGGGTTAGCAGTGTTTGTCAGGAGAACATCCTTGCTAACCCTTACACAATTACAATTGGATCGAAATTCACTCTGATGGACCCTAGGAGCATGAAGTGGAAAGCCCTCAGTGACTCTCACACTATTAGACTCGAGTTTCCATTTTTGACAGACAGTGCCAGTTGCGATGTACCGTGTAACAGCCTCCATAGTCTCAGACTGAGAGGGAGAAAGAGAGCAGACAACAAGATGATGACTGAGAGGAGAACAGACATCGGCCTGGATGGACAACCAAGGCAAAGGGTCGATGGAGGGGAAGACTGAGAAGGAAGGGATGAAGAGGGAAGGAGGGCACAGAGGAAAGAGGAAGAGAAGCGGCACTAACTGGGCAGATAGGAGAGGACGAGGAAAGAGGGGAAACGATGGACAGAGATTCAAGAGGAACACTTACAGACGTTCGGACAGCTTCAGGGAGCCGAACCTATAGAAAAGTTTGGCAAGCCGAATGTTCGGGTAACTAGAATGGGGTTGGGCCTTGCATGATTTTGATTTTAAAGCGTAGAACATACATAAACAATTGAATGTAACTCAGTTCCTGGCACAGCTCAAGTGTCTTGCAACCCACTCCTTTGCTGCTATTCTGCCAGGGAATGTCATCCACCGGTGAGAAAGACCAGATCGTGATTTTACAATAAGTGCAGGCCACTAATATATGGTAACTGTCATCACATACTAAGCCATTACAAAATAGCAGAATCCATGTGTCTTGGTTAACTCCATTATATCCATATTGATCTATTATAACTATTTACATAATTGGTATAAAATCTGGGTAATAATGAAAATTGGCAAACGACGATAACCGCAGTGATTCGGATCAATACATGACTGACTGTGGTGGCCCAAATGAATAAAGGATAACAACAGTGCCTCAGATCAATTAATGATGAAGCCATGGTGGCTCAGGTCAGTAAATGATGACAGCTGCATTGGCTCAGATCAATAAATTATGACAGCTGCAGTGGCTCAGATCAATAAATTATGACAGCTGCAGTGGCTCAGATCAATAAATGATGATAGCTGCTGTGGCTCAGATCAATAAATGATGACAGTTGCTGTGGCTCAGATCAATAAATGATGACAGCTGCTGTGGCTCAGATCAATAAATGATGACAGCTGCTGTGGCTCAGATCAATAAATGATGACAGCTGCTGTGGCTCAGATCAATAAATGATGACAGCTGCTGTGGCTCAGATCAATAAATGATGACAGTTACTGTGGCTCAGATCAATAAATGATGACAGTTGCTGTGGCTCAGATCAATAAATGATGACAGTTGCTGTGGCTCAGATCAATAAATGATGACAGCTGCAGTGGCTCAGATCAATAAATGATGATAGCTGCTGTGGCTCAGATCAATAAATGACAATGACCATATGTTCAGTGTTAGATTTGTAAATTACCATTTCTGTGATGACCAATAAGTTTTTTCTTTTTACAAACACGTTTGACATTGACAACAGTGTCACAGTGTCAAAATGCCAAACTGAAAGGATGCATCATATGGTGCAAAACTAAAGAGAGTGAGAAAGATAGGTGCCAGAGAAACACCATGACAAATTACAGGAATTAGAAGACAAATGTCTGCTCGAGTTCAGCTCTAAATGTTAATTAATGAGGATGGAAAGAGGGAGAGAGAAGAAATGTTAGAAATTATACCATAAAAGGATGGTTAGTACAAGAATCACAGAGAGACTCTCAGGAGTAGGCATAATGCCAGCATTAACACTGGAAGTGCATAAAAACAGGTCAGAAGCAGCAGCAGATGGGAAACTTACAAACATAATGGCATAAAACTCTGAAATGGAGACACTTTCAAGACAATTTATACAGCACGATAGTGAAAGCACAAAAAGATTGAGAAAAGCCAGTTGTTTGCAACAAGACTAGTGCTTGAATAATGAGGGGCAAAGCTGGAAAGAAAGGTTAAGAGAACACACAATACTTGCTCTAGAGAAGGACCAGAGAGAATATGATCATAACACACAAAATACTTTGGGAAATACACAAGGTGGCCAGGAAAATCTTTTTCCAGTCGAGAGGAAATAGAACGAGAGAATACGGGTAGAATTTAGACATGCAAATGAATCGGAGAGACTTGAGGAAACACCCATACAGGTTTAACTCACTTGCACTTTTAACACCCATGAGCCTGCGGAACTTTTCTGCCATCTTGCCGTCTCTGTCATTGGAGAATCTTGTATTGGCCCACAGAGCAGCTTGACCACCACTAGGACAAGTGCTTCCTGCTGCAGCTGTAGCTGCAGCTGCAGATCCTGAACCTAAAGGAGGACGCCAGGTGTTGACTCCTGTGCCAATTCCTCCAATCCCAGATCCACTGGGACGAGGAATAGAAGGGGCAATACTAACAGTTTCTGTAACTGCAGGTGTACTGCTCGGAAGAGGAGTCTCGGGCGGTTTATTCTGAAACCCCAAATTTTTATTTTTTACTTTTATAACATTAAGATTATCCTTACCTCAGAAAAACAACCCAATTTTTGTTTGCATACTTGCTCTTTATTACACACAATAATACCTGTACATTGAAAACCACCTTTACATGCTACAACATAAGACAGCTGTGTATGTAGGGTACGGACATGCTGCAACAACACTGGAAATGTTGGTCCAAAATGGCCAATACATTTCTCAAATTCTATTTTGGACCATGTTCTATGGCCCAAAATAGAATTACATGGATACTTGTGTTAAAAAATTTAAGATCTCACAATCGACTTGAGAATGGTCCAGGATGGATCGAAACGTCGTCGTCCCTTCGTTTTCTAGTGTGTGGATTGGTCAACAATTTAAGATCTTATTTTTCAGGGTAAAAATACAAAATAAAACAAACATTTTAAAGCAGGAAATAACAGATCATCTTATTTACCTCTTATTTACATCTCTGAAATGCAAAACAATTGTGCAACACTAATAATTATATTTTACCAATTTTTCTATCATAAGTGGGTGCAATCCAGAGGGTGCCACTGAGAAAGTTAATGAATGAGATAGTTTCTCTGAAAAGTGTTTGATGATCAAAAATTTGGTAGACAATTGCCATCCCTCTTCCCCTGGCTATCATGTTAAAAGCAAAGATACATTCTAGATCCAAAATTGTATACTTTAACTTTTTATACATGAAAAGTGTCCATTTTATAATAACTTAATAAAACATTAAATGGCGAGTATACCATCATGTACGTGTAAAGATAAATGAGTGGTAAGCCCAGTACTGTAAGAACATAAGAACAGACTGTTCAAGACAGGGAAGAACTTGTTCAGTGTATGAGTAGTAAACACAATGGTAGCAGAGGCATACTTATTTCATAGCTTTAAAGTGTTATAGAAAACTGTGTGTAGTATTACACCAGATATCCATATATGAAGAGTGGGTCTTAAGGGCCTACATGCAAGCACATTCAGGTAAACAAAAAAATGCCCTGTGGGTAAGAGTATGTTTAGAAATTAGAAATAGCACTTCTCATTTAAAGTATTTACTTGTAAAGAATAAGAGTTACAACACAATCTTCAGTAATAATTAACCCGGAGAGTAGTCCGAGATTATATTTTTTCCTCTCTGACGCTAGTTTAAGACCCGTGGTATATATATCTTCCAACCACAAAGTTTACTTTAGTACTTATCTTTGAGCCTAAATTACCTTAACCCCCACACTTCCTCAGTGATATCTGCCTGGATTCATGCCCTGGCCAAGGGGGGGGGGGGGGGGGGGGGGGGTGAGATTGGGCACCAGTCCTTAACTCCTCCTCCTTGTTCACCCAGCAGTAATTGGGGACCAGGGGCCAGATTCACGAAGCAGTTACACAAGCACTTACGAACCTGTCCATCTCTTCTCAATCTTTGGCAGTTTTGTTTACAATTATTATGAGCTCCGTAGCACCAGGAAGCTGTTTATAACAATAACAACAGTTGATTGGGAAGTTTTCATGCATGTAAACTGTTTAATAAATGTAACCAAAGCTGTCAAAGATTGAGAAATGATGTACATGTTTGTAAGTACTTGTGTAACTGCTTCGAGAATCTGGCCTCTGGTCATAACCCAATTAGCAGGTCTTGTTCCATGAAAAATTAGCAGGATAAGGCATAAGATAAGCTGCAGGAAGTGAGAGCTCAAATCCTGCTAACAAGAATCATAAGTCATCTTTTTATATGCTCTCCTGTAAAGAAGTGGATAATGAAACAAAAATGTAAGTTTGCTTACTTTGTTACCCCAGAGAAGTTTCTTCTTGCGTTCCTGTTCAGCAAATTTCATTGGATTCATAGCTGCAGGATTATAATATGAAGGAAGGGCAATGCCAGTTTGCTTTTGAACTTCCACCATTTGCGCTTCCATGCTGCGTTTCAGGAGTTCGGCTGCCGTCAAGTCTGGATTCGCTGCTTTTAGCAATGCAAGTTTCTGTTGAGCCTCTGTTCAAAACATTATGGATGTTAATTATACATTAAAATAACTTTACCTTTGAAAGACCATTGTTAGTAATAAATATAGAACTAATTTGAAGGTAAACAATCAAACATCACTTTAAAATAATGTTATGAGAATACTATAATAAGGTGGCCCTTGATTTGCAAGTGGGTTATGATCTATAAAAATTATATAAACAAAGATAAGCTAGTCAAACATTAACTCTTAAACTGCTAAGGGCTTACTGGTCTGCAATACCACCAGGCACAAAAAAAAAAAAAAAAAAAAAAAAAAAAAAAAAAAAAAAATTTGTTTTTGTCTTATAAGTGTTCATTTGTGTACTCTGATCACAGGAAAATGAATAAAAAAATAATAGGCAACATATTTTAGTCGCAAAAGGGTGGGGAAGTCTGGCAAAAATCGGGCGTTGACAGAGCAATCGTCGGAGGCGGTCTGTTCCGCCCTAGCTGTCAGTTGCCACAATGATGATGATAGCTAATTATTTCAATATGTCTGATTGTCTCTGTTTTTACAATAAAATGTGTGAATCATCACTATACTCAAAAGTATTGTGTGAATATTAGTGATATCTGCATGTTTTGTTCACCATAACGAACCACAAAGTTGGTATGGTGAGTCAAAAAGCAACGAGGAGTGGCCCGCCATACACCAGCCAGCCAGCCACTGGCTGTCACTTGTCAACATTCTCCTCCCACCACTGTTTTTGCTTTTATTCACTATATAAAGACGTTATATGCAAGTTTTCTTGAGATGATTACAGGACTTAGCGTCCCCGCGGCCCGATCCTCGACCAAGCCTCCTTTTTGTTACACATCCCCAGGAAGCAGCCTGTAGCAGCTGTAACACCCAGGTACCTATTTACTATTAGGTGAATAGAGGCATCAGGGTGAAAGTAACCCAGCCCATTTGTTTCTGCCTCCAACGAGGATCGAACCTGGAACCTTAGGACTATGAATCCTGAGTGCTGTCCACTCAGCCGTCAGGCCCCCTTGAAGGTAAGAATAAAATAAGAACAGTACAGTATCTACATGTTTTGTTCACTATAACTGTACAACTAAGCTGGTATGGTGAGTTTAGGCAATAAGAGGGGGGTCAACATACACAGTCAGCTGGCAGCTACCTCCCTCACTGGTTCGAGGCCCGACGCACTAAAAATTTCTCCCCCAACAATACTGTTTGTGGTGTTATTACACTATATACACATTATATATAAGCATCTACATGTTTTATTCACCATAACTGTACAACTAAGCTGGTATGGTGCCCAAAGAGCATAGTGGTCACCAGTACACAGCAGGACATGCAGACGACATGCAAACGATGCCACCTACCTCACCAAAATGGCTGCTCCCAACATACTCCTATTGCTGTTATTACACTATGCACACACATCACATATAAGCATCTACATTTGTGATCACCATAGCGAACCACTAAGCTGATATGGTGAGTCCAGACAACAAAAAGGTGGCCATGCAGGGTCTGAAGACGATGCCACCTCCCTCCCTCAGCATTATTCCTCCCACCATGCAGCACAGCACAAATTACCACAACAATCCTGGTATTATCAGAATCCTGGTCATTTTTATCACAGTCTGGGGGTCTTTAATACTATCATCACTAAATAATAGCAGGTTCATATATATTGTTACACATTTAGGCGATGCTTTGTTCACAAGCTGAACAGCAGTGCGGTTAGCTCATGCTGTGTGCGGCAACCTTGGTTGCTCACTAAGTTCTGAGGCTCTCACACCTGGGAATGTTACCCACAATTTTTTTTCCCAAGATGATATAGTGCTATAGTCACTGGACTATAGCTGCCCTTATCCCTCGCGGGGCATTTAAAATCATGCGTTAGACCCTCAATTGTATATGCACGATGTGCGCGATTCCGTGACAGTTACTCCATACATACATGCATGTTTTGCGTGGCTTTAGAGTCAAGGTATAAAGAAAAATAGTGTTAGATTTCACAAACCTCCAAACACATCTTCTGATAATTGGGACATAATGTACAATGATGCAAGAATAAAATAAAGTTTGTAAAACACAAGAATATGTGGACAGTCTGAAATACTGTCTAGTCTCGTTTATCTGAATTATATGTGACTCCTGATAGATGAAAGACTTCAGAATATTTAATTACCTAACCTGATACTAGAATTACTGTATATTAGCTTTGTGTCCACTTATATCACAGACAGTACTCACGCCAGTACCAAAATCCTTTGCAACGCTCAACAGAATGGCCACTTTCACAAAGTTCAATCACTTGTAGTTTATTTTTATTGGAAAGTGTAACTTGCTTCCTCTTAGTACCCACAGGTTGATTGTTGCTGCCAGCAGACATGATGTTAGTAAAACATTATCAAAGTTCATATTAAAGCAAGAAAGTTACAAAAGAAAATCAGTAATGGAGCAACGGTGTTTAACCATTAAACCGCACAATACACATATGTATAGACGATTGAGGCTCTAGTGCACGATTTTAAATGCCCCACGAGGGATAGGGGCAGCTACAGCCCAGCCACAACCGATAGTTAACAGATACCACCTAGAGAAAAATTGTGGGCAACATTCCCAGGTGTGAGAACCTCAGTACTGAGTGAGCCACCAAGGCTGGCGCACGTATCATGAGCTCACAGCACCGCTGTTCAGCTTGTGACCACAGCGTCGCCTAAAAATGTCAAAATATTTAGTGATGATAGTATTACAGAAGATCACTGACTGATAAAAATAACCAGGATTCTGATAATAGCAGGATTGTGGTGATAATTAGCGCTGCAGTGGGAGGAGTAATCTTGGTGGGGAGGGAGGAAGCGTTGTCTGCTAACTCTAGTGTGACCATCTTTTACTGTCTGGACCTGCTATAACAGCTTACATGATTCACTATGATGAACACAAACATGGATACTTATATATAACGTGTGTATATAGTGTAATTACAGCAAAAGGAGTATATTGGGAGCAGCCATTTTGGCGAGGAAGGTGGCATCGTCTGCATGACATGTCATGTTGTGTACTGGCCACTATGGTCTTTGGGCACCATACCAGCTTATTTGTACAGTTATGGTGAATAAAACATATAGATACCTATATATAATGTGTGTATATAGTGTAATAACACCACAAACAGTATTGTTGGAGGAGAAATTGAACCAGTGGCCTTGAACCAATGAGGGCGGCCACCAGCTGACTGTGAATGTAGCTACGTCTATTATTGCCTGAACTCACCATACAAGCTTAAATGTACAGTTATGCGCCTGACAGCTGAATGGACAGTGCTTCGGATTCGTAGTCGTGAGGTTCCAGGTTCGATCCCTGGTGGAGGCATAGACAAATGGGTAGTTTCTTTTACCCTGATGCCCCTGTTATTTAACAGAAAATAGGTACCTGGGAGTTAGACAGCTGCTACGGGCTGCTTCCTGGGGGGGTGTAACAAAAAGGAGGCCTGGTCGAGGATTGGGCTGCGGGGACGCTAAGCCCCGAAATCATCTAAAGATGAACAAAACATGTAGATACTTATATATCATGTCTGAGTAGAGTGAATAAAAGCAAAAACAGTATGATGGGAGGAGTATGTTGGTGAGGTGAGGGAGGGAGTGGTGGCGAGTGGCTGGCTGGCTGGTGAGTGGTGGCGACTCTTCGTTGCTTTTTGACTCTCAATACCAACTCAGTGGTTCGTTATGGTGAACAAAACATGCCGATACTTAGATATAACCTGTGTATATAGTGTAATAACAGCAAAACTATTTGTTTATTGTTTTATGAACATAATAATTGAATCACTAATATGCACACCATAATTTTGAGTATAGCGATGGTTTACACATTATATAAATATATCATACTACACACTATTGAATAATATTACTGAAAAAAAAATCAATCAATCAGAGACATTGAAATAATTAGGTAATAATATCTTTGTGGCAACACTTGCTTGACAGCTGAGGCAGAGCAGACCTCGTCTGGCGCTTGGTCTGTCAGCGCCTCTTTTTTGCCAGACATCCCCGCCCTATTGTGGCCAAAATATGCCACTTACGATTTCCCCTCCCACCCCTCCCCATGATGAGGGAACACAAATGAACACTTTTATAAGACGAAAGAATTTTTTTTTTTCACCTGGCGGTTTTGTAGGCCAAAATGCCCTGAGCGGCCTAAGGGTTAAAATCACATGAGGGGAGAACATGTGGCTGGTAAATGGGTGGCAAACAGATAGCAGGAGGGTAGGTGGTAGAGTGGCCAGGGAGGCAGCAGTGAACGGGTTGGGCATCAGAGATATAGCACTAATACAGACTGGCTTGTTGGCTTATAGGTCAGGTCCGCTCCCTCCCCCAACCCCTCAATACTCACACCAGCCCGAGCGACATCCTTCCACCAACCCTACACTGGACCTTCCCCACTTCCTCCTTCCCCCAATCCCCACACCAGGCCCTGATACATCCTTCCCCCGACCCCACAGCAGACCCTGCTACATCCTTCCACCAACCCTGCACTGGACCCTCCCCACTTCCTCCTTCCTCCAATCCCCACACCAGGACCAGCTACATCCTTCCCCTGACCCAACACACCAGACCTTCCCTGCTTCCTCCTTCCCCAAATCCCCACACTGGACCCTGCTACATCTTTCCCCCAACCCCACACCGGACCCATAACTGGTACAGTATCTTGAGATGATCTCGGGGCTTAGTGTCTCTGCGACCTGGTCCTTGACCAGGCCTCATTTTGTTACACCAGGAAGCAGCCCGTAGCAGCTGTCTAGCTACCAAGTACCTATTTACTGCTATGTGAACAGAGGCATCAGGGTGAAAGAAACTGCCCATTTGTTTTCTCCTCCACTGTGGATCGAACCCGAAACCTTAGGACTATGAATCCCGAGCACTGTTCACTCAGCTATCAGGCCCTTGCTGACCCTCCCCACTTCATCCATCAACCAATCCCCAAACAGGGCCTTGCTTCATCCTTTCCCCAACCCCACACCGGACCCTCCCCGCTTCCTCCTTTCCCTAATCCCCACTCCGGGCCCTGCTACATCGTTTCCCCAAACCCACATCCCCCTCCCCCACTTCCTTCCCCTAATCCCCACACACAGGTCATTGACAGGAACTCTAGTGAACAGGACCATCACATCAAACTCAAGTTTAAAATCATAATTTAATTTCAACTCACACAGCTTGTTAACCAAGTCCACATTGTTTATGTGAGAGTTGGAAATGGAGCCCGTACAAGACTTGGACCAGCCATTTGGAAAGTTTGTATGTTACAGATCTAACATAACTAGTAATAGGTCTGGCAAGATTATTGGGCTTGACAGCCCTGTTCACTAGAGTTTCTGTTGATGACTTGTTGGCATTCTTATGAGATGAACTTTCAAAATATAATTTAACTTTACCCACTAACACCATTGTTAGACTCAAAATGGTGCATAAAAGATAATTGCACGTATTACAGTTTTAATGATTTTTTTTTAAAAAGACACATTTGGCATGGTGTTAAGTAATCCCTTTTTCCCGGGTTTGAGCAATTTGTACAAAGAATTTTTTTAAACAAAAATCTTACTGAGGATTTTACCTTCGAATGTGTTGTGGTATAGGTACTTTGATAATATTTTGTGCCTGTGGCTGGTTAACCATCACCAAACAGATTTTTTCAATCAACTTAATTTGCTTGTTCCTACAATTAGATTCACAAGTGAGAATGAAGAGAACGGTGTTCTGCCTTTCACGATTCATAGAATCGGAGAGTTTCAAATTCAATATGTATACGACACCTACCAATGTGTGCTCGTATGTTCGTTATTACTCTTATCATCATAATCTGGTTAATTAAGTGAGTAGTATTTTCTGAAATGTTTCTCAGAACCCTAAGAGTTTACAACCCGGAATTTTTTGATGAATAACAAAAATATATGAAATTGGGAAGCAGTTATAATATCCAAAATCTTTCCATACTTCCAAGTCTAAACCGGAACTTAAAAGCTTGCTAGTTTTACAGTATTTTGAGGGACCAGCAAAACTTGTCCCACCCCTGAAAAACCTTAACACTTTCGCGTTCTGGGCGTGAGCGCCAAAGGCGACCCGATTATAATCCAGGCGTTTTGGGCGAGCGCACGGCAGCACTGGAATGTATATACTCTTCAGTTTTCTCACCTCCATTTTTATTGTATGTCTTTCATTTTGGCATCAAACTGTTCACAATAATATTTCCTACAGGAGCATATGCACATAAGGTCCAAAAGCCTGGCATGCCACCCACACGAAACCCATAAATCGGCCGAGCATTACCCGTGAGCTCGCAAGAGCAGTAAAATGTTATACTCTTTAGTGTTCTCATCTCAATTCTCATGCTACTTCATTCCTTTTGGTATCAATGTGTTCGCAATAAAATTCTCTACAGGCATATATGCATATAATGTCCAAAAGCCTGCCCCCCCCCCCAACCACCTCGGCAGAAAAGCCGAAAGTCGGCCAAGCTCCATTTCTACATGATGTTTAGGGCCTGGGAGAGTTTTTGTAATTATTCATGAATATAAAATTCCAGAGACCAGGCCTGGTGAGAGCATGGGCATGCTTTTATTGCTACTTCAAAGGCTAGAGGGGTTAGGGTAATATCTAATATATGGTTTGAAATTGGAATCACATTCATAAAGAATTAATTTGGATCATTGATCTTCTTGAGGGTATCTTGAGATGATTTCGGGGCTTAGCATCCCCGCAGCCTGGTCCTCAACCAGGCCACCTTTTTATTACAAACCCCCAGCAAGTAGCCCGTAGCAGCTGTCTAACTCCCAGGTACTTATTTACTGCTAGGTAACAGGGGTGAAAGAAACTGCCCAATTGTTTCTGCCTCCACCGGGAATCGAACCCAGAACCTCAGGATTACAAATCCGAAGCGCTGTCCACTCAGCTGTCAGGCCCCTATAATAATAGCCCTCATTGATAGTCAATGTGTTCAGGGCTTCACTGAAAACAAAATCATACACAAGCCTAGAGCCTAGGCTTCTGTATGATTTGCTAGAAGCCTAGCCTCAGTATTTCACTCATTTCTTTGTTGACATCTGTAAAAGTGGCCCTTGCACAAGGGCCCAATGCTAGATATAGTTTTTTTTAGATTTTTCATAGGCGAAAAAGTATTTTGGATTCCTCTCTTTCATTAAGCCTTTTGCTCTCTCTGCCTCGCATCTATTTTATATGATTCTTGCATCTTTAGCTCGATCGTTTCTAATTCCCTACATGGCCTCCTTTGTCATTCTTGTGATAGAGCAGAGCATTTGAGATGTTTGGTGATTTATATTCTTCACCTATAGAGGGAACACTGTTCTAGTTTCAATTCGTATCTTCTAATTCTTTTTTCTTAGTGATCTGTGACACGCACATATTTCTAGTGCTACTGTGCCAATTTTCTCAAAGTACTGGCTTAAGTTAGCATTTTGGGTATGAGACTGGCATTACAAGTATTTGTAAACATTATGTCCCAAATCAGTTCATCAGTGTTTGTAAAATAAGATTAGGGTGTTTTCTATTCTAGTTGGTTCTACTAGAATAATAATTGCTGGCTTAAGGCAAATATGCCACATATCTACAAGAAGTCATTTGTGACTGTTCATCTAGACTGCTTCCTGTGAGTCCCTTTAGTATAACTATTTGCCTCATTTTTCCATTTTAGAGGCTGTAAGTTAAATAACCAAACAAGATAATATTTGGATCAGGGTTTGTGAGGCTTTCTGTAAAGTTTTCTACTTTCATAAGTTTTTTTAAACTGCTGACAATTTGCATTTGGTGATTTATACACAACGATAATAACCAAATTTAGGATCTCTATTTTGATTATTAGCCCTTCCACCATATAGTTTGTGGTGTTTAGCAGTACGGCTCTGATGTGTGCAAGATGAAGTGGCTGATCCCACTCTGTAGCCTATGTTTTCTATTACATCTGAAAAGATTTAACTCTGGTACAGTGTTCATGTCTCATTGTAGTAATAGTCCTTTGAGAATTTCAGTTAAAGCTGCATGTATTGCATTTGCAGCATTAAAGAGGCCAGCTATAAAGTAAACCTTGTTTTGAGAGTTTTGATATCTTGTTTGTTGGCAAATATGAAAGTTGTCATCGTATCTGTGAAAGTGCCGAGTATTTTAATAGGTGTTTAATAACTGTGGGGTGCCACACAGAGTACATATGAAGCACACTTTTTGGTAATATAAAATAACCCATACAAATGACAAATGATGTACTACCAGTTTCTATAGTAGTGCATCATATAATATTACAGAAATACTAACCTTTCCTAATATCCATCGGCCTCTTTCTTTCACGACTGCGACTACGGCGGCGTCTGTCTCGTGACCTGGATCTTGACCTGCCAATCAGATTTTAAATAAAACAAAATTAAAATTTATTTCCACTTATGCAGATGTTTTTTTACAACAATGGTATTCATTTCATCATTACAGTGTTCATGTACTAAATACAACTTGTCACTGAAAACTCGGAAATGTTTCACTATCATTTAGTCATGATTGGATATAATAGAGCCACTATACACAAACTAATAGACAAATAACTCATTTACTAGCTGTGCACCAAATTTTGTTTGATCAGATGCTAGTTGGTTTCATATACTGATATTTTAAAATAACTAATTGACAAGATCTTTGGATATGTGAGAAAACCACTACTTGTGGATGTCTTAATGAAAATGAGATGTATGCAGACAGGTCTAAAATTATAATTATAAATAAATTATATTATATATATATAAATATATATATATATAAATAAATTATATTATATTAATTATATATATATATATATATATAACTGAAAACTCACACCCCAGAAGTGACTCGAACCCATACTCCCACAACTGGTATGTACAGGGACGCCTTAATCCGCTTGACCATCACGACCGGACATAAGGAAGTGATAGCCGAGGCTATATGAACCACTTCCCCGCCGGCACTCGGATGGTAATCTTGGGCATAGCATTTTATCAAATCACCTCATTCTTTGGGGCACACGTGAGGAACACAAATGCAAACAAGCCTGAATGGTCCCCAGGACTATATACAACTGAAAACTCACACCCCAGAAGTGACTCGAACCCATACTCCCACAACTGGTATGTACAGGGACGCCTTAATCCGCTTGACCATCACGACCGGACATAAGGAAGTGATAGCCGAGGCTATATGAACCACTTCCCCGCCGGCACTCGGATGGTAATCTTGGGCATAGCATTTTATCAAATCACCTCATTCTTTGGGGCACACGTGAGGAACACAAATGCAAACAAGCCTGAATGGTCCCCAGGACTATATACAACTGAAAACTCACACCCCAGAAGTGACTCGAACCCATACTCCCACAACTGGTATGTACAGGGACGCCTTAATCCGCTTGACCATCACGACCGGACATAAGGAAGTGATAGCCGAGGCTATATGAACCACTTCCCCGCCGGCACTCGGATGGTAATCTTGGGCATAGCATTTTATCAAATCACCTCATTCTTTGGGGCACACGTGAGGAACACAAATGCAAACAAGCCTGAATGGTCCCCAGGACTATATACAACTGAAAACTCACACCCCAGAAGTGACTCGAACCCATACTCCCACAACTGGTATGTACAGGGACGCCTTAATCCGCTTGACCATCACGACCGGACATAAGGAAGTGATAGCCGAGGCTATATGAACCACTTCCCCGCCGGCACTCGGATGGTAATCTTGGGCATAGCATTTTATCAAATCACCTCATTCTTTGGGGCACACGTGAGGAACACAAATGCAAACAAGCCTGAATGGTCCCCAGGACTATATACAACTGAAAACTCACACCCCAGAAGTGACTCGAACCCATACTCCCACAACTGGTATGTACAGGGACGCCTTAATCCGCTTGACCATCACGACCGGACATAAGGAAGTGATAGCCGAGGCTATATGAACCACTTCCCCGCCGGCACTCGGATGGTAATCTTGGGCATAGCATTTTATCAAATCACCTCATTCTTTGGGGCACACGTGAGGAACACAAATGCAAACAAGCCTGAATGGTCCCCAGGACTATATACAACTGAAAACTCACACCCCAGAAGTGACTCGAACCCATACTCCCACAACTGGTATGTACAGGGACGCCTTAATCCGCTTGACCATCACGACCGGACATAAGGAAGTGATAGCCGAGGCTATATGAACCACTTCCCCGCCGGCACTCGGATGGTAATCTTGGGCATAGCATTTTATCAAATCACCTCATTCTTTGGGGCACACGTGAGGAACACAAATGCAAACAAGCCTGAATGGTCCCCAGGACTATATACAACTGAAAACTCATATAGCCTCGGCTATCACTTCCTTATGTCCGGTCGTGATGGTCAAGCGGATTAAGGCGTCCCTGTACATACCAGTTGTGGGAGTATGGGTTCGAGTCACTTCTGGGGTGTGAGTTTTCAGTTGTATATAGTCCTGGGGACCATTCAGGCTTGTTTGCATTTGTGTTCCTCACGTGTGCCCCAAAGAATGAGGTGATTTGATAAAATGCTATGCCCAAGATTACCATCCGAGTGCCGGCGGGGAAGTGGTTCATATAGCCTCGGCTATCACTTCCTTATGTCCGGTCGTGATGGTCAAGCGGATTAAGGCGTCCCTGTACATACCAGTTGTGGGAGTATGGGTTCGAGTCACTTCTGGGGTGTGAGTTTTCAGTTGTATATAGTCCTGGGGACCATTCAGGCTTGTTTGCATTTGTGTTCCTCACGTGTGCCCCAAAGAATGAGGTGATTTGATAAAATGCTATGCCCAAGATTACCATCCGAGTGCCGGCGGGGAAGTGGTTCATATAGCCTCGGCTATCACTTCCTTATGTCCGGTCGTGATGGTCAAGCGGATTAAGGCGTCCCTGTACATACCAGTTGTGGGAGTATGGGTTCGAGTCACTTCTGGGGTGTGAGTTTTCAGTTGTATATAGTCCTGGGGACCATTCAGGCTTGTTTGCATATATATATATATATATATATATATATATATATATATATATATATATATATATATATATATATATAAAATTGAAAACTCACACCACAGAAGTGACTCGACATACTGCCAGGAGCACTCTGAAACGGGTGTACAGGACACCTTTACCACTCGACCATCACGACCGGACAAAAGATGATGGTAGCTGAGGCTAATTCCCCCATCATCCTGCCGGCACTCTGATGGTAATCTTGAGCATGGTATTTTATCAAATCACCTCATTCTTTGGGGCACACGTGAGGAACACAAATGCGAACAAGCCTGAATGGTCCCCAGGCATATCATGATGGGGAATTAGCCTCAGGCTACCATCTTTTGTCCGGTCGTGATGGTCGAGTGGTTAAGGGTACACAAGTTGCAAAGTGCTCCTGGCAGTATGGGTTCAAGTCACTTCTGGGGTGCGAGTTTTCAGTTGCATATATGCCTAGGGACCATTCAGGCTTGTTTGCATATATATATATATAAAATATATACAGGTATATATAAAAAAATATATATATATATATATATATATATATATATATATATATATATATATATATATATATATATATATATATATATATATATATATAAATAAAAACAGCATTGAATGTAATGAAACGCCATTATCTGGGCGAGTCTCGGAGGCTCCACGGAGCTATCCAGGCCGATATGTAGATATTAGCTTTCTGACAAAGGTGCATGGAGTTCTTGCCTACTGGAGACCACGAGCCAGAACCTGGCCCTTTCAGAGAAGCACGAGGAGCAATGGCCTATAGAAACCCCTGTATGGTTGGTAGCATTCTGTGTCTGCCATCGACTGAGTCTGGCACCCAAAAAGGTAGGCGCCCCAAAACAAACACCAATTCTGGTGAAAATATTGCTACCGAAAGACAAACGATTGGACAGAACTCTCCAAACAAAAATTAGCAAACGATGGGATGGGAATTATCAGGGGGAAAGTGCCAAGCCATTATGACTACAGTACTGTCTCCACTCGATCATCCGGACTATATGGGAAGGACCCCCAGCCGGATTATCACATTTTTCGGATAATGGTACTTTTTCACCTACGAGTCCAAAAGTGACCATTTCCAACTATTTTTATACTACAAACAACATAATTTGAATTGCCTTGCCACATACAATTATTAAATATTCAACTAGAAACCTCAACTAACCTTGTTGGTGTTCGTCTTCTTGATTGATGCCACACATCTTGAAGTTAAAAATTCTTAAACAATTTACGTAACCTATACTAACACAACACTAAAATTAACACTTAAAATTACTGTACAGTTCATTAAGCTAAGCTAGTTTTGACTGCCAGCTGCTGAAGCCTCACTGGTTGAGGGCATTTGGGTTGCCTGTGAGGCCTCACTTGTTGAAGGCGCTTGCTTGCACCTCACTTGTTGAAGCGTTGCATGCCCTCACTTGTTGAAGGCGCTTGCTTGCGCCTCACTTGTTGAAAGCGCTTGGCTTGCCTGTGGCGCGTCACTTGTTAAAAGCGCTTGGCTTGCCTGTGGCGCGTCACTTGTTGAAAGCGCTTGGCTTGCCTGTAATGCCTCACTTGTTGAAGGAGCTTGGCTTGCCTGTGGCGCCTCACTTGTTGAAGGCGCTTGGCTGCCTGTGACGCCTCACTGGTTGAACAACACGTAACTTGTCTTTAATTGCTAGGACAATCTTCTTCCTCTTAACACTTCCAGAACGACTGATGCTGCTACCAGACATATTTTTGGCCAAAAATGTTCAAAATTACTATGAAAATTAAGAAAGTTATTTAAAAAAATATTTCACTAATGGCGCAACACTGTGAGGCCGCACTGGTTGAGGTGTATAACAGTGACTTGTCTTTAATTGTTAGGACAACTTTCTTCCTCTTAACACCTCCAGAACGATTGATGCTGCTACCAGACATATTCTTGGCCAAAAATGTTCAAAGTTACTATGAAAATAAAAAAGTTATTTAAAAAAATATTTCACTAATGGCGCAGCACTGTGTATAACACGAGGGACGGACGCACATGGGTTGTCCAGTGTTGGATGGGTCCACTTGGGGTGGGGCAGCTATAGCACGTTAAGTAGGCCGCCAGGAGGAAAAAAATTCACAATATTTTTTAAGGAAACTTCAGCCTGTGCACAATGCTTTTAGGAAACTTATTTATTTGTTATTACATAATTACTAGTACTTATTTCATTTGTTTTTGGCTATGAATAATTGTTCTAAAATTAATGGTAATTCCTGTACCCAGGTGGTCCCTCCTGACGCACCCCTCCCACCCTCCCAACACCACCCACCCACCCCACCCCCCTCCTCCACCATGCATCTAGAGCCACAGACGGGATTAATACGGTATGGCCGTATTTTCATCCGGCCAAACTAGCTTTTATCCGGTTCCTGTGGCCATTTTGGCCGGATATTGTGATAACTTTATCCGATAACGATTTTGGCCGTATAAGGGCGTTTTCCGGATGTTTGAATCCCGGATAATCGCGGGGTTACAGTATATAGAATATTAGAAAATGAGCATGACGTCATGTTGACGCGCCACTGTCTGTGCAACCCCCCTTAGTGAAAGGGGAAAGGAGGAGCCCCAGACCCCTAACGCTGGCAACCCACTTCAGTTCTTAGCCTGGATGTCAAAACACGCGAAAAACACCGCTGACTGGAGGGAGGGAGGGAGTGATGAAGGGGAGCCTCCGGGACTTACCCAGAAAATGAAGTTTCATTACATTTACAGCTGGTTTCCTGGGGGGAGCCCTGTTAGCTCTTCGAACTACCCTAAGACAAGGAAAAACAGGGACTTACCTGGGCAGCGGTCAGTCCTCACTCCTCAACACGAAGGCGAGACAACTGGCTGCAACCGCTGACCCAGTGCAATGCAGGCCCTACCAGGTTCAGGGACAATGACAAGGAAGCGAGCAGCCAGGACCCTGTTCGATCTCCAAAAACCCTGTGCTAGAATGTCAACCCAAGACATGGCAAAGTAGCAAACTTACGAACGTCATGGGCATGAGGATAGACCGCTGGCTAGCTAGACTTAATAATCTTGCAGATGACCTGGGAGACTTGAGCCCGGGAACAGGGAAAGAGGGAAATCAGGTGAACCCAAAGCACATCCCGGGCCACCGAAGTCATAGCATGCAAATCACGGCGGAGAGCACAACACATGATGCACTGCTGGCCTGACCAACCAAGCATCAACAACCGAAGGATCCCTCCGGAAAACAGCAGTCTCATTCTTTGCCAGAAAAGTGGTAGACGGCTGCAACCAAACAAACCTACCACCAGGACCATAAGAACAGAAACCCCCTGCGCCGGAGGAGAGCATGAAGGTCCCCGACCCGACCCCAGAGGCCAATGCCAACAGGAAAAAAAAGAGCCTTAGAAAAACAGTCCTGAACTGAAGGGGCCACAACAAACCGAGGAGAAAAAGAGAGAGAGCACTCGATCCAAAGACCAAGACGGCTCAGGTGGTGCATGAGCAGGCCGGAGGTGAAACAAAGCACGAGACAGCTTGCGGAACGGAGCAGACGTAACCAACACTGAACGCAAGCTGGTGTGGCCCCACCAGCGCCGTAAGATACGAGGCGACAGTTTTCGGCATAAGATGACGACCCTGAAACGGCCACGAAAGGAAGGACAAAACAACTCCATCATAGACTGAAGTACACCTACACAGCAAACCCATTTTCCTGGCGGAAGGACCGCCAGGAAACTTCACACTGCCGCCAAGACGAAGCAGGTGGGAGACCAACAACGAAGCAACCTATGCTCCATACAAGTGATGATATACCCGAGTCAGAAGACTCGAGGTGAAGAACAAACCAGCCTCATACCAGGCTGGATTGATCTGCTGAAAGAGGTGGAGCCGCAGGAAGACCCTCAGGTTCAGACACCGAGCAAGCAGCACCTGAAACCAAGGCTGGGCTGGCCACCAAAGATCCAGAAGGACAACTCTCCCCTGGTAAGTCTCCAAGCGAGCCAGGACCTGGAGCCACAGCTGAACTGGGGGAAAGATATATAGGTAACCCCACCTCGCCCAGCCCTGCCCGAAGGTGTCAACCCCGATGGCATCGACCACGCTGACACAAAGAGACCCACTTCCGGAGGCCCGAATGTCCGGCAGAGCCAACTGAACGAGTTGGTATCGTCCGTCCATTCCTTGTACGGTTCCAGTAAAGAGGGACGGGCCGTCCGCCAGGACGTTGGAACTTGCCCCCTCCCCCCCCGAATGTGAACCGCCAGGAGAGCCAAACCCCGAGAACTCAGCAGACTGGTCACCCCAAGCGACTAGCCTCAAAGAACCAAGGACCCAAATCCTCCTGAGCGACATCGACACAGCCACAAACTCCCGCACTGTCCTGTGAGCCCGATGGAAGGATGGATCCCCACCGTCCCTGGTCGGCCTGGTGAACACTGGTCAGAAAAATGTCAGCCCAGAGACAAGGCGTCCGTGAAAACATCGAGCGAGGGCTCGGGTAGACACCAAGGCACTGAACCCTGAAAACCCTGAAGAGGAAGCCGGCAATGCAGCAACCGACACAAAGCCCCAGGAGGCCTTCTGGGAACCTCTGGAACGATAGGATCGAGGAACCGATGGGATCACGGAACTGAACCCAGGGAGGGGTCAACGCCAAATCCAATTCGTACGAGGACGGAGCGAAAGAGATCCTCACTCCTTGTAACACCAAGCCCCACTTTGATGGTACAAAAACCCAGGCGGGGTCCAACGGGGCCCAAGGCCCCCCAAGTCAACCAACCCCTTCCCCGCCCCGGGAATCTCACCCATGAGGACTCGGGGCTGAGCCGTCTTCCAAACGCCCTGCCTCTAAAAAAAAAAAAAAAAAAATAATGGTAGGAGCCGCCAAAAAAGCAGGAACAAAGGGGGGTTCACTGGTCCGATCCAGAAGCTCCAGCTGGAGGACCAGGCTCGAATGCCTCCACCGCTACTCTGGAAGGGGATTCCCCCGAGACCGCCCGAGTCTCAACACCAACTAGACCCTGCTTCGACTCAGTAACCCTCAACATGTTTCGAAACAGGAAACAAGGGGTAGAGGAACCAGATGAACAGAAGGGGAAGGACAAGGAGGGATGGAGGAAACCAAAGTCCCACCCCAAAGTCTGAGTCCCGAAAACCAAAACAGGGCAGTCTCGGGGCATCCAGGAAAGCAACCAACATATAACGTTGCAGCAACCTGAACCTATCATGCAACACAGCTGCTGCCTGCATCCTCATATCATGATCAGTAGCTTGGGTGAACTGGAGCAAGTACAAACAACAAACATCGCATGACTCCGGGTTAAAAGAATCACCGACCCTATAGGCAGTGTGGCGGAGGCATAACTGGTGATTGTCACCCTGAGACAAGGGGACAGAGCACCCATCAACCTCGCATGAAGCGAGAGGGGACTCGCACGATGGATGCGACCCTTTGCTCGAAGCGAAGGGTCGCATCCATCGCACCACAGAACCAATGCAGGGTTTCCCAGGACAATTAGCCTTGGTAACACACTAAGGGAAGCCCAGGCAGGGTACTGAGAACCGGCGCCCAAGGCTACCAAGCAAACTTCTACAAGCTGAATCCCCAAGACGTGTCCACTCATGGGGGTCTAGCAGGGGGTACCACCAAGAACACTGATGTATATGTAAGTACCCCTAAGTATAAATAGGGGGCAACCAAACAAAGGCAGACTTCCCTCCCCCCACCAGGTAGGAAACAAAAACAAAAGAAAAACCCTGCAAGAGGACAACATACTCAGAAGGAACAGAGCTGGCCGCTATAATTGGTAATAACTAGCTGAGCAGTACCCTAAGCCCCTACCAGTGACGAAAAGTACCTTCTACCCAGAAACAAACAGGGCAACAAAATCCCCAGCCGACTCCAAGGGCGGCCAAGTACCGAGCAGTAAAAGACACAGTGAAGGTAGATCCCAAGCCCCAAGGGCAGTACTTTCTGGGCACCTTAGGAAAGGAAACACTCGGCGCAGGCAGCCAGAGTACCACAGAATATTACTTCAATCCAATCGTTCGGCTTTCGGTAGCAATATTTTCACCAGAATAGGGTTTGTTTTGGTGCGCTTACTTTTCTGGGTGCCAGACCTGGTTGATAACAGACACGGAATGCTCCCAACCACCCGAGGGGAGGGGGGGGTTCAACAGGACATTGCTCCTCGTGCCTTTCTGATGGGGAGGGGGGGCCAGGTTCTGGCTCGTGGTCCCCAGTAGGCAAGAACTCCATGCACATTGACTGATGCCAGAAAGCTAATATATCAGTATATCCTTATCAGCCTGGATAGCTCCGGGGCTCCCCCCCAGAAAATACAGTATTTGGAACAGCTGCTGATTATACATTCAACAACCAATTTTAACAAGAACAGTACAGATGGATTTACTTCTAATGAAAAAGATTAACCGTTAATTAGTTTCACAGCAATTAAGCTACTTTATTCAGATTTGCACAATGACATCTCTTATTGGATTACAAAAATGACTAGAGAGTATTCATCACATGTTACACGTGTGTGAAAAGTACCGACCCAGATTTGAAAAAGGTTACATGTCTGGATTTTATTTTTAAGAGTGACAGAATCTGTTCAGTTGATATGGCTATATAAACTTTAATACAGTATTTTACAGCATGTCAATAACTCATATACATCTAGTTTTAATAATTGTATAAAATAATATATACATTCTTCAAAACATACCCAATTTAGTCCATAAGTTTCCAATAAAAAAACCATGCAGAGCAGACTGAATAAATAGAAGATGTTTGGGAATGAATGCATCCCTTATGCAAAAAATGGAATTAACTTTACATCAGCTAATTGGTGTATGCACTAATATAAACACACTCTCAGCCAATAGGAATTCACCTGCGATCTCTGGACCTGGACCGCGACCTCCGTCTCTCTCTGGATCGAGATCGAGACCGCGACCTTCTGCTTCGCCTTTCTTCATCTCTTCGTTTGCGGTCATCATCCCTACTTCTCCGCCCTTCTCGACTGTCTTTACCACGAACAGAATGTCCTAAAATATTCAGGTAAATGTATTGATAAAAACAACAAGAGTAAGATAATAAACATTATCAGAAACACACTTAATGTATAAAATTACAGAATAATATTTAAATTGCAGCTTTTCAAAGGAGGTACAGCATTCCTTGTCCCTATACCAGGTACAGTATACATTATAAATCACATATAATATAAATATTAACTATTTGTGCCTATGTTTTCTGGTGGGGTTTCCTATTTTTTAAGTAATCTTTTCTTGCCTCCCTCGCTTTGTAGAGGGTGATTTCAACCCAAGTTTCCGGTAAATGACAGATGGTCTCAAGGGAGTAGATATGTTGAACTTTAGCTAGGTGGTATCAGAGATAATCTTGTGGACACACACTGAGGTGCTCTCCCAGAAAAAAATATTAAAAATACTTTTTCCTAGAAAGTTACAGAAAATTATAGATAAGAATAGGAAAAATAGTAAAGAAAAAAATTTCTTGCCATAGTACTGGTTAGTGCATTCACAATGCCAAACTCGGGTGGTTTTGTCACTTCACACCATGTGATGCATAGTTGTGCTTGCGGGGGTTGAGATCTGGCTCTTTGGTCCCGCCTCTCAACCATCAATCAACTGGTGTACAGATTCCTGAACCTATTGGGCTCTATCATATCTACATTTGAAACTGTGTATGGCATCAGCCTCCACCACATCACTTCTTAATACATTCCATCTGTTTACTACTCTTGACATAAATAAATGTATTAGACTATTATAAATCTAATACATTCACTAATATTATAAACCACTATAATATTTTATTACAGTTTAAAAATAATAACTGCTTTAGTGACAAAGCTGAATTTTTGCTCAAGTAATCCATGAACTGATAGTGGTAGTAACACTTTGTAACCTGGCGCTCAATGCTGGCCACTATGTGGCAATATGTAATAATGTATTGGCCATTCCAAAAATTAGAGCATTTCTACAGACAATTTTACGTACAAGAATGTAAGAACTCTTGTATATATAAATAAAAAACAATAAAAAAACACTAGTTTAAATGTTAAGTGTGGAGCATTTTTTTTTAAATGAATTATCACTTTTGAGGGTGTGGAGGCACCAGTCAGGATAAAAATAACACAATTCAAATGACTGTACCTTGACTAACTTGATCTCGGCTGGCATGACTCCTTCCAGAGTGTTCTCGGCCCTGCTGACTGGAGCGTCCCTCTCTCTCTCGTGACTTTGACCTTGATCTACAAGAACAAAATTATAAGTAATAAAAATACAGAACCTGATTATTTTTTGTATTTAGTTCAAGACCTTTACATTCTGCAAGAGACGAACAATGAATTACCATAAGTGAAACAAAATTAAATCCTAATTTTTAATATGAAGTGTAATGTGATATTTACAACGATAATACAGTATATATATTTTACTAGATGGTTATTATAATTTACAAAACACTGAATTGTTACATTTTTTCATTATTATTTCCCAGTCAATTAGAATTGAATAGGCATTGTCAAACCTCTAAAAAATTTTTTTTTTACACATTTCTGTATAAATAAAAAACCAGTGTAGAATGTAATGAAACGCCATTTTCTGGGTGAGACCCAGGGGCTTCCCAGAGCTATCCAGGCTGATATGGATATTATTAGACTTTGGCATCAGAGTGAATGGAGTTTTTTAGGCTTACAGGGACCACGAGCCAGAACCTGGCCCCCTCAGACACACACTAGGACCAATGACCTATAGAATTGCACATGTGAATTGAAGCATTCTGTCTGATATATACCGGGTCAGGCACCCAGAAAGTTAAGTATCCCAAAACAAACCCCTATTCTTGTTGAAACTACTACTGAAAGCCAAACGATGGACAGAACTCCCCCAAATAACAACAAGCAAACGAGCATGATGTCACCATGTGCCACTCCGCCGTCTGCACAGCTAAGAGGAGCCCCAGGACCCTCACGCTAGCTACCCACGCCTTCTGTTCGAAGGCTGGATGTCAAAACACGCAAAAAAAAAAAAACGACGACAGGAGGGTGGGAGGGATGCCGGTGAGCCTCCGGGTCTCGCTCAGAAAATATTGTTTCATTACATTCAACCCTGGTTTTCTGGGGGGGGGGGGAAGCCCCTTCGGCTCCCCGGAGCTATCTACCCAAAGACAAGGACAAAAAAGGGATAAACCCTGGAGGCAGAGTCTATGCGCCCTAAACCCGAAAGCAAGATATATGGCAACACTGAATGACCCTGATGACTACCTGGGAGACCCGAACCCTGGAACAGGAACGAAGGGAACCTGGGTCAACCCAAAGCGCATCCACAGTCACAGAGGCTGTGGCACACAAGCAATGGCCGAGAGCCACAACCGGACACAAGAAGATACACCCCCTGCCAAACCCAATCAAGCATTAACCCTTGTGTTGCTCAGGGCTAATTAGCATTTGTCACCCACAGGCGCATCAACAAAAAAAAAATCTTCTAAACCTGTTAATTTGTGTTCTCTGATCATGGGAAAAATAATAAAAAAAATCGTAAGTGGCATACATTGCCCGCTATAGGGCGGGGAAGTCTGGCAAGAAACAGGCGCTGACTCAGCATGCGTCCCAGACGGTTTGTTGATACCAGCTGTCAGGCAGGAGTGGCCACAAAGAGATAATTACCTAATTATTTCAATGTCTCTGATTTTTCATAGTTTTCTTGCTGTAATATTATTCAATAGTGTGTAGTGTGATATATAATAAAATGTGTGAATCATCGTTATACTCAAAATTATAATGTGCATATTGTTAATTCAATTATTATGTTCATCAAACAGTGAACAAATACTTTGTCGGTTATTACACTATATACACAGGTTATATACAAGTATCTGCATGTTTTGTTCACCATAACAAACCACTAAGTTGGTATTACGAGTCAAAAAGCAACGAGGAGTGACCGCCACGCACCAGCCAGCCACTCTCTGCCACTCACTCCCTCAATACCTCACTCGCCCACATTCTCCTCCCACCATACTGTTTTTGCTTTTATTCACTATATACAGGCGTTATATATAAGTATCTACATTCGTGTTCACCATAACAAACCACTAAGTTGGTATGCTGAATGGCAGTGGCAGCCAGTGGCAGCCTGCCACTGGCTGCCACTTCCTCCCTCCCTCCCTCACCTCTCCTGACTCGCCCACTTTCTCCTCCCACAATACTATTTTTGCTTTTATTCACTATATACAGACATTATATATAAGTATCTACATGTTTTGTTCACCACAACTGTACAACTAAGCTGATATAGTTAGTTCAGATACTAAGAGACGTCGCTACACACAGTCGGCTGGCCACTGCCTCCCTCGCACATTCACGGTCAGACGCACTAAAATTTCACCCCAACAATACTGTTTGTGGTGTTATTACCCTATATACACACATTTTTTATAAAGTATCTACATGTTTTGTTCACCATAACTGTTCAACTAAGCCGGTATAGTGCCCAAAGAGCATAGTGGCCACCCCTACCAACATGACAAATCATGCAGATGTTGCCACACCCATCACCAAAATGGCTTCTCCCTCACACTCTTTTTGCTGCTATTACACTGTATATACACGTTATATATGAGCATCTACATTCGTGTTCACCATAACGAACCCCTAGGTTGGTATGCTGCGTGGCAGTGGCAGCCCGCTACTGGCTGCCACTTCCTCCCTCTCTCACCTCACCTGACTCGCCACCATTCTCCTCCCACAATACTATTTTTGCTTTTATTCACTATACAGACGTTATATATAAGTATCTGCATGTTTTGTTCACCATAGCGAACCACTAAGCTGGTATAGTGAGTCCAGACAGTAAAAGGTGCTCACACAGAGTCAGCAGACAATGTTACCTCCTTCCCCACCAAGATTACTCATCCCACTACAGCGCTAATTATCACAACAATCCTGCTATTATCACAATCCTGGTAATTTTAATCACAGTCACGGGGTCCTCTGTAATACTATCATTATAAATAAATAATAGCATGAACATATATATATTATGGCATTTTTAGGCGATGCTGTGGTCACAAGCTGAACAGCAGTGCTGTGAGCTCATGCTGCATGCGTAAGGCTTGGTGGCTCGCTCAATACTGAGGCCCTCATACCCGGGAATTTGGCCCCACGATTTAAAAAAAAAATGGCGTCTGTTTACAAGAGCCCTGATGAGGGTGAGGTGAATCCCGTGTATCCGCGGGCCATTTAAATCTTGCATAGTACCCCCAATACATCATATGATGTGATGCGCAATTTATAGCAAGTTACTCAAAAAATCATTTGATGTGTTGTGCAGTTTAAGGGTTGAAATCCAACTGGAAAAGATAATCAGGGCACGTGTTGTGGTGCACGGCTGTTTGGACACCAGACCAGCTTTGTGGTTCATTATGGTGTACAAAAATGTAGATAGTTCTATATAACGTGTATATAGTGTATGCTATATACACATGTTATATAGCCACCACCACATGGTGTATACTATATACACATGTTATAAAAATCATGTGTATATAATAAAATAATAAAAATACACATGCAGCAAAAAACAAGCGTTGAATGTAATGAAACACTATATTCTGGGCGAGACCCAGAGGCTCCCCGGAACTCATCCGGGCTGATATGCTAATGTCAGACTTTGGCATCAGTCATGTGTAAGGAGTTCTGTGGGCCTACCGGGGACCACGAGCCGGAACCTGGCCCCCTCAGAGAGGCATGGGAAGCAATGGCCTATAGAAACCCCCGTGTGGTTGGAAGCATTCTATGTTTGCCATCAAGCGGGTCAGGCACCCAGAAAGGTAAGCGTCCCAAAACAAACCCCTATTCTGGTGAAAATTGCTACCAAGAACCGAACAAGTGGACAGAACTCTCCAAAAAGAAACGAGCAGACGAGCATGAGGTCACACGTCGCCGCACCGCTGTCTGTGCAGCTCCCCCCTCCCCGGGAATGGGAAGGGGGAGACCCAGACTCCTGCCCGGCTATCCACCCTTCAGTTCTGAGGCTGGATGTCAAAACACGAGACAAACCCGCCGACCAGGGGGAGGGAGGGATGCCGGGGAGCCTCCGGGTCTCACCCAGAAAATGGCATTTTATTACATTCAACGCTGGTTTTCTGGGGGGGAGGGGGGGGAGGGGGGGGTGAGCCCCTTTGGCTCCCAGGAGCTAACTACCCACAGAGGAAAAGGAAAGGGACTGACCCGGGAGGCAATCGCTGCACACTCCTCAACACAAAGTCAAGACAACTGGCTGCAACTGCCGACCCAAAGCGACACGAGCCCGACTAGGCCCAGGAACGTTCACAAGATATCGAGCAACCAGGACCCTGTTCAATCGCTAAAATCCCTGCGCCTGAACGGCAGCCCAGGACAGTGCCAAAAACTGCAGCAAGAGCAGCGAACTTGGAAACGTCATGGGCACAGGGATAGACCACAGGCTAGCTAGCCGTAACAACCTTGCGGACAACCTAAGAGACCTGCACCCACGAACAGGGAAGAAGGGAAACCGGAGCAACCCAAAGTGCGTCCCCGGATACAGAGGCCGAGGCACGCAAGTAACGGCGGAGGGCCGCAACTGGACACAAAAATGATGTACCCCTGGTCCGACCAACCAAGCATCCACAACCGAAGGACCCCGCCGGAAAGCAGCAGTCTCAATCACCGCCCGAAAAGAAGGAGACGGCTGCAGACGAACAACCTATCGCCATGACCGAAGGAGCAGAAAATCCACTGCTCCGGAGGAGGGCATGAGGCCCACCGACTCGACCCCAAGAGGCTAACGCCAACAGAAAAAAAGAGCCTCCAAGGAACAATCCTGAACCAAAGGGGCCCCACAACAAACCGTGGAGTAGACGGGAAAAAAGAGCACTCTATCCAAAGACCAGGACAGCTCAGGCGGCGCACAAGCAGGCCGGAGGTGAGCAATGCACGAGACAGCTTGCGAAACGGCACAGACATAACACCAATACCGAAAGCAAGCTGAAGTGGCTCCGCCAGCGCTGCAGGATACAAGGCGACAGTATGGGGCAAGATGACAGCATTGAGTCTCCACAAGAGAAGGACAAGGCCACGCCAACAAATGCAGCTACCGAAGAAGGGACAGACGGAAAAGGAAGGACCGCCAAAAAACCTACACTGCCGCCAAGAAGCAGCACGCAGGTGGGACACCATGAACAAAACCACCCGACCACCAACAGAAGGCGAGAGACTAGAGGCAGAAA